CTTGACAGAATTCAATATTTTTTCATGATTAAAAAAAAAGACTTTCACTGTAGTGAGTATAGAAGGAATGCATCTCTACACAATGAAGGACGCAAATGTGAAAGTAGCACTCACATCTGGAAGGAGACAAAGAGGCTGGTTCTCACCAGGGAACAGAAGCCCTTGCCAGAGCAAGCAATAGAAAGAATGAAAAGGCACCCAAAGCCGAGCGCCGGTGGCTCACACCTGTAATCCTAGCTACTCAGGAGATCTGAGGATCACAGTTCAAAGACACCCCAAAAAACGGAAGTGGCGCTGTGGCTCAAGTGGTAGAGTACTAGCTTTGAACTGAAGAGCTTGAAGTACAGTGCCCAGGTCCAGAGTTCAAACCCCATGACCGACCAAAAAAAAAAAAAAAGGCATCCAAACAGGAAAAGAAGAGAAATTGCCACTGTTGACAACATGATCTTATTTAGAAAAATTCCTACAGACACTGCAATTATTAGAATAAGCAAGTCAAGTTATAGGACACAAAGCCAACCCACAAAATGAGGAGAAACAACCTGAAAATGAAATCAAGAGGGTAGTGCCAGTTATAAGAGCTAAAAAGAAAAGAAATTAGGTGCTAGAGGCTCAAACTACTCAGAAAGTTGAGATCTGATGATTGTGTTTCAATGCCAACACAGCCAGCACTCTTATCAAGGCTCAAGTGGTAGAGTGTCAGCTGTTAGCAAAAAAGCTGAGCACGAGTTTGTTGGAGGTCCTGAGTTGAAGCCATGGAACTAGTGCTTAGGAACAATTTAACCTAAGAGGCCCCAAAACTAGGGGAAAAAACAATCAAAATACTAATTAACTAAATTGAAGACAAAACAAATGACGATCCCCCAAGTTTATGGATCGAAACAATGCTATCAACATGTCCTGTTCCCAAAAGCAATGGACAGATCTAATACAATTCTTATCAAACTTTGCTATTTTTCCTAAAAATAAAAAAACACTCCTGCTGGGTGCTGGTGCTCACACCTGTAATTCTAGCTACCTAAGAGGCTGAGATCTGATGATTGCAATGCTTAGCCTGAGCAGGAAAGTTTGTGAGACTCTTTATCGCCAATTAACCACTAGAAAACCAGAAGTGGAGCTATAGCTCAAGTGGTAGAGCACTAGCCTTGAGCAAAAGAACTCAGGAACAGCACCCAGGTCTCAAGTTCAAGCCCCAGGATCAACCAAAAAAAAAAAAAGCACCACTAAAATTCATGTGGATACACACAAAAACTTTAAACGAGCCAAGGGAATCATGAAAAAATCTAGAGCTATCACAGTTCCCAATTTTAAACTATATTGAGAAGTTTGTGGCTAAAACAGCATGCTATTGGCAGAACGAAAACATACCAACCAATGGAGGAGAAAAGAGGAAAAAAAGAAACCAGAAATGAACCTAGTCATCTACAGTGATTTTGCACCAATGAGATACATGGGAAAAGCATTCTCTTCAATAATTGGTGTTGGGCATACTTGATTCACACACAAGTCAAAATCCAACTGGCCCCATATCTCCTCCTATATACAAAGATCAAATGAATCAAAGACTTTATACAAACTATGGTAAGACCACTGCAGGAAAACTAGGGGGAAAAATACACAGTATCAGATTAGGAAATAACTTTTGAACTGGATACAACATCTGCAGACAACAAAAGCAAAATCTGGCAAACGGGACTCTTATCAAACTGAAAGAGCTTCGGTACAGCAAAGGGAGCAATTAACCATGTGCAGTGATCACCTGCAGATTTGGAGGAAATATTTGCAAGTTAACACATTAAGGTGTTAACATTCAAAAATGCAGTTCAAGCAAGTCAACAGCAAGAAAATAAAGCAACTAGAAATTTGTAAGGGATCTGACAAGACATTTCCCAAAAGAAGACAACAGATAACTGAAGAGGTCCCTAACATCTCCAGCTCCAATCATTAGGGAGATACAAATGAATACATAATGAGATCATATCACTGGCCTGTCAGAATGGCTGGTGTCTAAAAGACAAAAGATAACAGATATTGGTGAGGGACTAGAGGAAAGGGAACCTGGTACAGAGTTGGCTGGTGTATTAATCAGGACCCAAGTAAGCTGGTTCAGAAATTAGAAAGACAAAACCTGGGCACTGGTGGCTCATGCCTATAATCCTAGCTACTCAGGAAGCTGAGATCTGAGGATCACGTCGAAGCCAGCTGGGCTAGAAAGTCCATGAGAGTCTGATCTCCAATTAACCACCCAAAAACAGGAGTGGAGCTGTGGTTCAAAGTGGTAGAGCACTAGCCTTGAGGAAGAAGAGCTCAGGGACAGTGCCCAGGCCGAGTTCAAACCCTATGACAAGACAAAAAAAAAAAGAAGAAATCAGAAAGCCAAACATTATATGTTCTGCTCTCAATACTCAGAATCTAGACTTTTAAAAAAAGAGAAGGGCTGGGAAGGTGGCTCAGTGGTAGAGCGCTTGCCTTGCATGCATGAGGCCCTGGGTTGGATTCCTTAGCACCACATAAGCAGAAAAAAAAGCCGGACGTGGCGCTGTGGCTCAAGTGGTAGAGGGCTAGCCTTGAGGAGCTGAAGAGCTAAGGGACAGCGCCCAGGCCCAGAGTTCAGGCCCCACAACTGGAACCCCCCCCCCCAAAAAAAAGAAAGAAAATATAGGTGTAGAAGGGAAACTATCTGTGAGAGGAGAGAGGAATAGAGGGGGGTGATTAAGTACATTATATACGTATATGAAAGTCAGAAACAGAAGAGGTCAGGGTCACAGTGACCTAATGCCCTCTGAGAGGCCACCTATGGTGAGCACCACCAAGGACCACATGGAACAGAACACAAGTTTTCAACCTTCACTTCCTCTTGGTCTATGGCAGTAGCAATGATTGGAGCAACAAGTAGAAAGTTAAGAGCAGCTGTCTAAATACACAGTACTGCTGGAGATCTACCACTCATGACCATCTCCACCCACTCATGGGTATTGGACCCACCATAGAACCCTGTTACAACTACAACTACTTTTTTCCCCAATTGAAGTCAATCATAAAAAATCTACTCAGGGGGCTGGGAAGGTGGCTCAGTGGTAGAGTGCTTGCCTTGCATGCCTGAGGCCCTGGGTTCGATTCCTCAGCACCACATAAAGAAAAAAGCCGGAAGAGGCACTGTGGCTCAAGTGGTAGAGCATTAGCCTTGAGCTGAGGGACAGGGCCCAGCGCCCCCAAAAAAACCTACTCAGTATTGCCTACCTCACACTCATGTAAAACCTAGCTGGGGCTACCTGGTGGTAGAGCCCTTGACAAGTACAGGTCTTAGGTGTATCCTAGCACTGTCTGGTGGTGTCACTCAGCAGCGAGGCATTTACCCAGCATATAAAAGGCTCTGGGTTCAACCTCAAGGACCATAAGTAATATTAATATTCAATCTGGGCATGAAAGTACACACCTGTAAGCTCAGCTACTCATAAGGCGGAGACAGGAAGAGCACTTGATCTCAAGAATTCAAGGCCAGCCAGGCAACATGGCAAGACCTTAAATAAATCATCTGATTCTCCAGGGCATGAAACGACAGTACATACTACTAAACTATGTGTAGATGAATTGTATCTTTATTACTTAAGCTGTGAATTTGTTACAATACACTATAATTACAGATTATGTCAGCAACTATAGAGGAGGTTCAGATTTTATCGAAGCACTTGCAATTATGGGCCATCAAGCACCTTCTCCTATATACAGTAGTCAAGATCTTTAGCGGTGATGAGATGTAGTCTCGGTAAACAAGCCCAATGAGCCAGTGCTGTAATGTGCCTATCCAGACTCCTATTTTGAGCCTGGCTGCAATAATAATGGAAGCACAGTCTGAAACACCCAGCTTACCTGCACAGAGTTCTGGGTATTCTTACAGTTTACAAACAGTCCTCTCCAGCTATAACCTGTCTGAGGAGTTACAAGGATAGTCAAGCTGGGTGACTGGTGGCTCTCGCCTGTAATCCTAACTACTCAGGAGGTTGAAATCTGAGGATCATGGTTCAAAGCTAGCCCTGGCAGGAAAGTCTGTGTGACTCTTAAATCCAATTAACCACCAGAAAACCAGAAAACTGTGGCTCAAATAGCTCAGGGACAGTGCCCAGGCCCAGAATTCAAGCCCCAAGACTGGGAAGGTGGCTCCGTGGTAGAGTGCTTGCATGCATGAGGCCCTGGGTTCGATTCCTCAGCACCACATAAGCAAAAAGAAAAAAAGCTGGAAGTGGTGCTGCGGCTCAAGTGGTAGAGTGCTAGCTTTGAGCTGAAGAGCTGAGGGACAGCGCCCAGGCCCAGAGTTCAGGCCCCATGACTGGGCCCCCTCGCCCCCCAAAAAGTATTCAAAGCCACGTGATATAAAAAGGGATGAAAACTAGGTGTGGTAGAACACACCTATCATTTGGAGGATCTTGGCTCCAGGCCAGCTTGAGCAAAAGTTAGCATGATTGTGTATAACTAAGAAGCAAAATGAGACTGGAGACTTTGCTCGAGAGTTGAAAACTTGCATAGCAAGCTCAAGATCTTGGGTACTGTACTGGAGAGGGTAAAGGGACTGGAAAAACTAGGACTGCTTTCAAGAGGCTTAAGCAAAAATAAGTAAGTGCCTGAATTACACTCTCAATTCAATATAATACAGAAGCAAATTTGTTTCCTGTTGAAACTAAAACAAGGGCTCCAAACTGAGTTAATTCCCAGTGCTGAAAAAGTGAAAGAATGCACCAGCATCCAGTTATAAGGCTTCAGCTTCACATCAACACATGACCCAGGTCATCTTTTTCTCTGTAAGACCTATCTCAGAAACCCTCCAGGGCATTTTTTTAAAGTAAGCTTCCAGGCTACATAAAGTCAAATCATAACTGTGTTGATCCTTAAATGCTGCAATTTCTAAATGGAAAACTAAAGACACTTTTGACATTCCTGTATCATTCTGCTACACATGTCTTGTGCGAAACTCTGATACCACTGGCAAAGAAGGCACCACAGAAAACATTGTCATGGTAAACTTTATTTCCATTGCAGGGCTGTGCTCTAGATGAGCCTCAAGAGAATATACATCATTAACCTCACGTCAGATTTGTGTTTTCACTTGTCCTGAGCAGCCTGTGCTGCTTTAGTGCCCCCAGTGTGCAGACACGTCTCATTCTACCCCAAGATTTTTATCTGCTGATACAGAAAATAGGACATCATAACAGATGGAACATAGAAGAATCTCATGAGGCATCCTCAAACTTTGGGGTTCAGATGCCTGCCCCCATGAAGGGCTGCAGAGGTCAATGTCCACTTCTTCACCACTAGGGTCAGTGTAATTTCTTTCTGTGTTCTGCTTATAAGGTAAAATGTCAGAATAGGTGTGCTGCACTTCCTTCTCCTAGTACATTGAAAACAGTGGAAGTTTCGACAGTTTCAATTCTTCCTGAGGCCAACCAAGCTGGGATGTGATTATTACGGATGGGGTTTACTCAACATGTTAATTCCAAGTTTGGCCACCATCAGCAAACTGTTCAAAAGAAACACAAACGAAAACGTGAGGAAACAAGATAGCACAGTGATTTTTTTTTTTAAGAGACCAGGACTCTGCAGGCCCTTCACAACTGCATAGGAAGGGAGGTCTCAAGAAAGAAAACAATCCACTGGGCACTCACACCTGTAATCCTAGCTACTCGGGAGGCTGAGATCTGAGGCTCGAAGTTCAAAGCCAGCTCAGGCAGGAAAGTACGAAAACCTGGAAATGGCGCTGTGGCTCAAGCAGTAGAGCACTCACCTTGAGCTGAAGAGCTCAGAGACAGCGCCCAGAGTTCAAACCCCATGACAGACCAAAAAAAAGAAAAAAGAAAAGAAGAAAAAGAAAGAAAGAAAGAATTCCTACAGGAACCAAGAGAGAGACTCATGCCAAGGGGCAGTCTGTATTCAAGTCTTAACACAACATAGGGGCTTCCTGGTCCAGTGCCAGTAATGGAGAGATGAGGAACTGATGGTGATCAGGGCCTCTCTAGGTCGCAGCTAGCTAACTATGCACCCTCAGCCTCCCAGCTGACTGCTCCTGACCTTGGTCTACAATGAGTCTTTCACTACAAGTAGAATAATTATGACTAACAGTCTAACTGCAGCTGTGGATAGGTCATGTTTTGGAAACACTTTAAATATTCTTCTGTCTCTGGATGTCTTTTTTCTTTCTTTGGGTCAGTCCTAGGCTTGGGTGCTGTCCCTGAGCTTTTTGGCAGAAGTCTAGCACTCTACTACTTCCAGCTTTTTATGGTTAATTGAAGATAAGAGTTTCATGGACGTTCTTGGTTGGCTTCAAACCACAATCCTCAGATCTCAGCCTCTTGAGTAGCTAGGATTACGGGTCTGAGCCATCGGTGCCTGGCTTGTAGGATGCCTTTATTGTACTTAGGAATTAGTACATTGAAAACAACTTGCTTTGGGTTTTACAAAGATTCGATCAAAGTTCTTTTAACAAAGGATATTTAAGAAGTTAACACGGAGTCCAGGATGAGAGTCACAGTGCCACAGACAAGGTTTGCCCTGAAGCCCCTGTGACGGACCAGTGAGCAAGTGAGAATAAAACCACATCCGTGAAGAATGAAATCTTAGGCCATTTGGGCCTAACTTCACAACTGATTGTAATTAAGTTCATATAAACTGATTCTAGGATCAGACATACCAAAGCAAGTAAATTTTGAATGCATAAATTATCTTAGACAATAACTTTTCTCCTGGTAAGAGAGAAAACGAAAAGTACCTGGCACCTGCGATTAACCCCGCAGGCATAAATTTCCCAGAGTTGTAGAATCGCATTCCCATGATGCCAGCCAAGGTCCCAGATGTAGCTGATGAAGAAGGCAGAGGTCAAAAGTCACAACACCTTATACACAAGGGAAGCTGAGTGAGAAAGCCTACCTATGAGTAAGGCCCGCCTCCACCCTGTACTTCCTGTTCCTTCTGAGGTGGGGGAGGCAAGGAGATCCTCTTGGCCGCCAAACTCTGTGGGACTAGTTACAAACACAGGCTGTGTGAGGCCCTGCAAGCCCAGGCCACCAATCAGGCCTCCCTCCTCACCACTCTCCTGCAAACCCCACACTTCAGCCATAAACACCCTCTCCTTTTCCAAGGCATAGGTTTTTTACATGCCTGTAGATGCTATTTCTTTTACCTCATGCTTCTCCTGCTGGATACCAATCAAAGCATGAGTACGCCTGCCTTAGTTAGGGTTTTGACCAAGTGCAGTCAAAAACAGACAAACAAAAAAAAAAAAAATCAAAAGAAATTTCAATGGTCTTCTTGAGACACGTGTTTGCCCTGCACCTGTTTTAAATCTTTCCACATTCTAAACAGATAGCAGCAAGATTCCCCATTGTACAGTTTCCCTAGACTTTTTGGCAGAAGCAATGAGACCAGGCAAAACAGATTAATGAGACAGAACCACCCCAAGGTGACACCAAAACAGACGTACCTAGAAAAACCCACACATTCCTGGGATCCTGAGACAACTGGTAAGCACCAAGGCCTGCTAAGCCCCCAAAGAAGAGTCCAGCAACCAGGGACGGTACACTACCTAGAAGGAAGCATGCACACACACGGATGTGATAATGCCATACTGATGTACAAATCCCCGAGGCTCCCCTGCCCCGAAGAAAAAAACAGCAGAGACAAAGTCTCTTCACTCAGTTCTTAACAAAGGCCTCCTCAAGCAGGAAAATGTTTGGGGGAGATTTGTTATTCTACCAGAAAAAGTCAGGGTCATAGCACCCCATCAATCTCTTCCCAAATAGGTATGCAGGGCAAGGCACTTCCACCTGAGAAAATAAAAACTCTGGCTCCTTAGGGGAACTATGGTCTGGCTTGTTCTTAACCATTCTCACTCAATCCATCAGGGGCTGAATTGTGCCACAAGGAGGACTTCAGGCAAACCACCAAAAGAGAGGGAAACAGGGCCATTGCTTTAAACAGACTGTGAGAGTAGAAAGTACAGTGTGTGTTGAGGTGCACATGCAGGCAAGGCAGTGCAGAAATGGGCACCTTCACTGGAACTCCTTACCTACATTCAAAATAAGAGTATAGGAGGGGCTGGGGTGTAGCTTAATGGCAGAGTGCATGCCTGGCCTGCAAGAGGATCTGGGTTCCATCCACAGCACCACAAAATGGGGAGAAAAAAAACAGTAAAGACTAAACTAGTTTTTTTTTTTCTACGTAAAAAACAAAGATAGCAACTCTGGGGCCAAGAATTACAAATGGCAGCCAATGATAATAACAATCTACTGCCACCCCTGCCTATCTTTAGATAAGGAGGTGAGACCAGGGAGCTGACTCAGCTGAATCAGATAACCAAAGGCAAGTGTAGGCAGGGCCAGAGGACTGAGCACTGAAGTTAAGGGCCTAAGGAAAATGAGCTAAAAGAGATGGAGTTTCAAGACCTTGGGCTTCATTCTCTCCTGGGACAGGTGAAGGCTGTAGGTGGCTAGATAACTTTACCTGCTTTCGCGTACCCCACGATGCCACCAGTCGCAACCAGTGCAGCATAGCCAAAGCCAACATAATGGAAAGGCACTCTGAAAATGCAACAGGAAGACTCAGTCAGCATCCACCAAGTCTCCTTAAAAACCATCCTATCATGACTGATGGGCCCAAGCAAACCACCTTACTGTACAAATGAAAAAAGCCCACCAGAAAGGTTTCATGGTCCCTTCCCATATCCCATGTTGCCCAGCCCCTTCTCAGAAGCAGAAAGAAACTTTGGATTGAGGAGCTGCAGACTGTTCCATTCCCATTGAGTCATGAACTCACAGAGAGCCGGTGTCTTTCTGCATTGTTCTCTCTCTCTCCGGACAGATGACACCAGGCCTGTGGAGAAGGGGCAGTTAAAGCATAGCCCTCTAGCAGTCAGAAGAAAAGTGGGTTCAAGCTCAAGCCCTCTGGAAGCCTCAGGCTCCTTCACTGACTGTACTCTGAAGATAAAGAACAAGAGTACCAATTTCTTGGGGTGATGCACAGTCAGAGATAAGCAAAAAAAGCATAGCACATAGTAAATGGCGGAGAGATACCAAGTAATTCCGCTGTATCTTTAAACAAGATACACTCATCAGCTCTAAAAAGGCACTATGAAAACATTAACCAACTCATTACTACTCTTGTTTCTGTGCCACCAATTTTTTTTTTTTTCAGTACTGGGACTGAACTCAAGGCCTTGCCCTTGGTAGGCTAAGTGGACTATTTTTAATGTCTCTCTGAGGGACACGATGGGGTGCTGGTTCCATCTGTGTCACAAGAGTTCAAGTATCACGTGTGTGTGTGTGTGTGTGGACCTGAACTCAGTCAGGGCCAGAGCACTGGTCTTGGCTTTTCCCCTCAAGGCTAGAGCTCCACCACTCGAGCCATCACTCCATTGGGTCTCAGAGACTATCCTGCCCAGACTGGCTTCGAACCACGATCCTCAGATCTCAGCCTCCTTCTTGCACAGCTAGGATTACAGGCGAGTATCTTTAATACTCAACATCTGTTTAAAAACAAGTTCTGCATCCAACACATGGTTCTTGCGAGGGTGAAGGACGGGGAGGGCCGCGCGGGACAGGAAGCCGCGGTCCGATGGCCCCTCCGGGCCTGGGGCGCGGCGCGGAGGCGCAAGGCCGGCCTCGCGAGCCCAGGCCCGGCGAGAGGATCAACGCCAAGCCCCATCTTCTTCGGGAAGGGCGGCGCTGCCCTCGGCGCACGGCCGGCCTGCCCGGCCTGAGCACGCTCGTTTCCGGGGAGGCCCGAGTGACGGGCACCCCCGGGGACACCGTGCTGCTCCCGGGAAGCGGCGCGCGACCGCGACCCGGGGAAAGCAAAGGAGAAAAGCACCGTCCCCCCCGCGCGCCCCCCGACCCTGGGCCCGGCCCGGGGCACCGAGCGGGGAAAGCGGGGAAACCTCGGTCACAACGCATGAAAGCTGAACCTGCAAAAACAGCGTCAAACCCCAAGTACCGAGCCTCTTCTCGCGAAGATCGCGCGCGGGCGGGCGGGCGGAGCAAAGCACACAGACCGCAAAGCCGCGGGGAGCCCGAGTCCGGACCGAGGGCGGAGGCCGCGCACGCGCGCCAGGTCCTGGGGAAGGGGCGGGCCTGAGGGCGGGGCTTCGGGCGCGGAGTCGCGGCACGCGCTCAAAGTCCCTGGGCGGGACGGGGCCTGGGGCGTGGAGTCAAGGCGCTCCGGGGAGGGATGGGATTGGGGCCTGGAGTCGTCGTGTAGAGATTGACGTCCCAGGGCGGGGCTTAGGACGCGACCTAGAGCGAGGAGTGGCTGCACGCGCTCGCGCTCCCCCAAAGGGGCGGGGTCTTGAGAAGCCTCGGAGCCGGGAGGCGGGACTTAGGGCTAGTAGCAAGGGCGGTCGAGGACGTGAGTCTTGTGTTCCTGCAGCTGGGTTGGGGCCTAGAAGTCTGAGTCCAAGGTGGGGGGTTTACCAGGCTGACTGAGCTCAGCTACAGCTGCTCACTTGAGTAGCCAAAAGTCAGAAACCCAGAGTTTGACTCGGAAGTTGCATCCAGCTACCTGAGCTGATTCAGTTTGGTGCCAGATGGCTGTCTGGTAAGCAGTGATGAGCTGCCATTATTAGGCAATGGGGTCCTTCCTGCTCAGGTGACTAAGATGTTTCATTAGACTGTGCACCTCACGGCTAGAAGGTGCCAAAGCAGAAGGCAATGACGATAGGCTATCTTGTTTAAATGTGTTAGAAAGAAACCAAACAACTTACAAGTGAATTGCATTAAAGGATGAGACAGAGAAAACAGTTTCAAATCATGTCCCTGATAAAAGCTTAATTTTCAAACTATATAAGGAGCTCCTGTAGCTCAACAGCAGAAAGATAACCAGGTTTTTATAAAGGACTTAACGTAGAAATTCCCGCCAAAAAGACACGCACATGGCCAACAAGCATAAGATATGCAACATTATTACTCTTTAGGGAATATAAATGAAAAACAGAGAGGTGGGCACCGGTGGCTCTTGCCTGTATAATCAAGATGGTGAGATCTGAGGATTGTAGTTTGAAGACAGGCTAGGCAGAAAAATCCCTGAGACTCCAATTAACCAGCAAAAAAAGCTAGAAGTATAGTTGCTGCTCAAGTGGTAGAGTGAAAAAACTTAAGGGACAATACCCAGGCCCCCAGGTCAAGCCCCAGTACTAGCTCACACAAAAGAAATACTAAGATATTAATTCACAAATACAAGCATGGCTATCATACAGTGTGTGTTAGTACAGAGACTTGAAATCAGGGAGTCTGTGACCCTTGTTCAGCCTGCTTGCTAGGCTGGCACTTGAATCACAACCCCAGGCCAGCATTTGGCTGGTTATTTGGGGATGAAATCCCAATGATTTTTCTTTTCTGCGCTGGTTTCAAACCACAGTCCTACAGATCTGAATCTCCTGAATTGCTAAGATTAAGGCCCAGGCTACAGGTGATTTGGTTTTTTTTAAGAAAAAAAAAAGTTGGCAAGGACATGGGAAAATTGGAACTTTCATACATTTCTAGTGTGAGAGGAAGGTAGCCATTGTGAAAAATAGCTAGGAGGCTGCTCCAATGACACAATTCCACTCTTCTTTATATATTCAACTGGTTGTATATATTCAGTAACTCAATCAGGTATTCTTTTTATTAGTGTGTGTGTGTATGTGTGTGTGTTGATCCTGGGGCTTGAATTCAGAGCCTGGGCATTGTCCTTGAGCTATGTCGCTCAAGGCTAGTTCTCCAGCATTTGAGCCACAGCTCCACTTGAAGCCTTTTTTGGTGGTTAATTGGAAATAAATCTCACAGACTTTCCTGCCTGGGCTGGCTTCAAACCTCCATTCTCAGATATCCACTGACATCAAACATACTTTTACACCAACCCACTGAAATACTCATCAGAATGGCCAAAAGGTAAAACAACCATATCTTCAAACAGGTAAATGGGCAAAGTAGTTTCCTACATACACAATGAAAAATTAATGAAGTGGGTGGTGGCTCACGCCTGTAATCCTAGCTACTCATGAGGGTGACATCTGAGGATCGTGGTTCAAAGTCAGCCTGGGCAGGAAAGCCCGTGAAACTTGACTCTTATTTCCAATTAATCACCAGAAAACTGGAAGTGGTGCTGTGGCTCAAGTATTAGAGTGCTCGCCTTGAGCTTAAGAGCTAAGGGACAGCACCCAGGCCCAGAGTTCAAGCCCCACGACCAGAAAAAAAAAAAAAATTAATGAAGTATTTGGCTAGAGGTGTGGCTCAAGTGGGACAGCACCTGCCAAGATGTGAGAACCGAAGTTCAAACCCTAGAACCACCAAAAAAAGAAGAAAAAACAAGTGCTAAACTGTTACAACGCTGATTTTACATACATACACACACACACACACACACACACGAGGACAACACACACACACACACACACACACACACACACACGAGGACAAATCTTGAATAATCCATCTATATGAAATGGTTAGAAAAATCCAGAAACAGAAAATAGAACAGAGGTTACTAGAAGCTGGGTGAAAGGGAAGGGAAATTGTTACCTAATAGTTACAGAGTGTCTGCCTAGGATAAGGAGAAGGTTGTAGAGATAGTAGTAATCACCAAACTCTAGTGATTAAGGTCACTAAACTAAAACTCTCTGAAAAACAACTGACAAAAGGATGAATGCACACATGTCCACTCAGCTACTCAGGAACCTAAAGCAAAAAGATCATTGATGCAGAAGGAAAGGTCAGCCTGGGCAACACAGTGAGACCCTGTCACAAAAATGAATGAGCCCTGGCAATGGTGGCTCTTGCCTGCAATCCTAGCTACTTAGGAGAATGAGATGCAGAGGACTGTGGTTCAAGAACAGTTTGGGGGGAGGAAAGGGATGTAGGGGGAAAATAAAGGAGGGTATAACAATGCTCGATAGGAAATGGACTCATTACCTTGCTCATGTAACTGAAACCCATCTGTACAGTATCTTTACAATACACACACACACACACACACATAAAGAAAAAAAAAAACATGTGAGCCAAAAAGAAAAAAAAAAGTTTGGACAGAAAAGTTTACAACATTCCATCTCTAAAAAATAACGTAGTAAAAATCTAGGCTAGAGATATGGCTGAAGTGGTAGAGCACCAGCTGAGTAACTCAAGCAAAGTCCAGGCCATGAGTGCAAACAAACCCTGATATCCACAAATAGATAAAATTGAATGTTTGGCTGGGTATAGCTCAGTGGTAGAGCATGCATTACAGGTCATGGGCTTAACTCAGCACCAAGTATAAACACTTTTAAATGGTTAAAATGGAAGTATTACAAGGCATGATTAGTAAGCTCTTCAGTGTTAAGGATCAAACCTAAGGCCTTAAACACATTAAGCAAGCACTCTACCACTGAGCTACACCCTCAACCCTTTGGTTAAGTAGAATTTTATTAGCAACTTGTAACCTGAATGTAATTTAAAATTTACGGACAAGCTGTAAAAATACAAGAAATCCCTTTTTATTCTTCACCAATTATCTTACTTTTTGCTCTATCCTTTTTTTTTTTTTTTGGTGCCAATACCAGGGCTTGAACTCAGGGCCTGGGTACTGTCTCCTTAAATTTTTTGCACAAGGCTAGCTAGCACTCTACGACTGAAGTCACACCTCTATTTACAGTTTTCAAATGGTTAACTGGAGCTAAGTTCACAGACTTTCCTCCTGAGCTAGCTTCAAACTGTGTTCCTCATATCTCAGCCTTTTGTGTAGCTAGGATTAAGAGCAACTAGTGTTCAACAAATTTGCTTTATCTTTAATACCAATTTTTACTAGAAGCATATTTTGCAGAGTTGTCATGTTTAATTTTTCTATCATCTGGATTATTATTTAGCACTTATTTTTTACATTTTTCCCTTTTTGGTTTTGGAGTTTGAACTCAAGATTGTACATACTAAGCATGTTCTACCACTGGACTCCACTCCCATCCATTAAAAAAAAAAACATGCAACAAAGTCTTGCTAAGTAGTTCAGTTTGGCCTCCTGAGTAGCTGGTGGTACAGGTGTGCACTACCTTGCCTGGCTCCAGTTTCTTGTGCATTTTCTCCTAGTTATTTTGAATATGTACATGTATCCCAAGTTGCCAAGAAAAACTTCAAGTCAGGTCAGGTGAGAAATGGACATGAGATTAAACAAAGTATCATAAAGGATCATTGCTGTCAGGTCTAGTGGTACACGCCTATAATTTCAGTTTCTAGAGAAGTATAAACAGGAAGATCACCAGCTCAAGGGCATCTGGGGGAAAGTTAGTTTCCAAAACCAAAATGCAAACAAAAGGACTGAGGGTGTAGCTCAAGTGGTAGAATGTATAATGAGGCCCTAGGTTCAAACCCCAAAATTGCTAAGAGATAGATAGATAGAGACAGACAGCCAGACAGCCAGACAGCCAGGTAAGTAGACAACTGACCCATGTAAGACTATTCGTTGTGCACTGGTTGCTTACATCTGTAATCCTAGCTACTCAAAGAGTCTGAGATCTGAGGATCATGGCTCAAAGCCAGCCTGGGCAGGAAGTCTGTGAAACTCTATCTCCAATTAAGCACCAGAACCTCAGTAGTGCTGTAGCTCCAAGTGGTAAGGCACTAGCCTTGAGCAGAAAAGCTCAAGGACAGTGCCTAGGCTCTGAGTTCAAGCCCCATGACTGACAAAATAAACTGTGAAAGGCTGGGGATGTTGCTCAATGGTAGTGTTTGCTTAGCATGCATGAGTCTGTCTTATATACCCATAACAGTGAGATTTATCACTGTTAAGGCAGCGATGAGAGCACACTGAAAAAAAGTTTCACATCATTAACCCAAACTCCCATTTCAAGAACCAACAAAAGAAAAACAAAAAACAGCAAGTAGAAGGAAGGAAATATTATATAAAGATAAGAATAAAAGTCAATAAAACAGAAAATATAACACAGAAAACAATCTATGAAACACAGAGCTGGTTCTGTGAAAACATCAATAAAATTGGCAAAGCTTTACCAAGACTGATAAAGAAAAAAGAAAAACACAAATTAGTAATACCAAGAAGG